TTTTTTGCTCAAGTCTAGCACTCTATCAATATGACACACAGCAATACTTCCTATTTTCTAGTGGTTAATTAGAGGTAAGAATCTCATGGCCTTTCCTGTCTGGGCTAGCTTTGAACTGAGATCCTTGGAGCTCAGCCTCCTGAGTAAGATTATATTCGTGAGCCAATAGTGCCTGGCTATTTTATTTTTATTTTTTATTTATGTTTTGGTTGGTCGTGGGGCCTGAACTCTGTGCCTGGGTGCTGTCCCTCAGCTCTTCAGCTCAAGGCTAGCGCTCTACCACTTGAACCAGAGTGTTACTTCTGGCATTTTCTGCTTATGTGGTGCTGAGGAATCAAACTCAGGTCCTCATGCAAGCAAGGCAAGCACTCTACCACTGAGTCACCTTCCCAGCCCATTTTATTATTTTTAAGTAGTTGTATAAGGAGATTTCATAAGTCAGGTTATGAATACAGTGCATCTTGATCAATGTCTCCCCATTGTTCTCCCCCATCTCATCCCTATCCTCACAGTTATGTAGCTCAAGTTTTACGTAATATACATTGAATATAATGACTGTGTGTGCTCATCCTTCCCTCCCACTTCAAAAACATGTTTCAGCTTTCTGTTATTTTATTAAATGATAACCTATTTTAACTACAGTTCATAGGAAATACGGTCAGAGTACAGGCTTTGACTCCTTCATAGGAACATATGAATTTGTTTACTTAACAAAATGTGTTTCTTTCTTGCAGAAAAAAAGGTGGTCAAGTATCAGTTTGCAGTATTTTCCCCAGTGCTGATGATCAAACTCAGGGGCATTTTGGTTCATGCTAGGTACCGCTGACAACACCTCCAGCACTAGTTGCTTATTTAGAGAAAATGTTAGCCTACTTGGCATAGATTCTGCCCCTCTAGGCAGATTCTAAGGTATTTTCTATTTGGTGTGTGTGTGTGCGTGCGTGCGTGCATGCGCGTGCACATGCGTGCACGCACATACATGTGCATACACACGCACGTGTGTGCTGGTGATAGGGATCAAACTCAGGGACTGGGTGCTGCCCCTCAGCTTTTTTGCTCAAGACTATCACTCTACCACTTGAGCCACAATTCCACTTTTGACTTTTGGGGGGCAGTTAAGATAAGAATTCCACAGAATTTTCCTGTCCAGGCTGGCTTCAAACTGTGATCCTCAGATGTCAGGCTCCTGAGTAGCTAGGATTACAGGCATGAGCCACTGACTCCTGGCTCTAAGACATTTTATTTTTAAAAAGGTATATGGGGGGGGGGGAATGTGAGAAATGAGGGAGGGGTAACAATGAAAAGAAAAAGGTTCTCACTAGCTTACTTATGTAACTGCAACCCCTCTGCACATACCTTTACAATAAATTAAAAAATAAAACCTCTATTGCATAAAAAAGTTATAAGAAGCCCATGATAATATGTTTATGTCAAGGTAATGTCATCTGCTTGTGAAATAATGTTAAACATAATGTCAAAAGTGAATACTTCCCCTTTAGCTCCTTCTAATACTTTTCTCTCCACAGTTAATAAAGATTAACATTTTATTTAATTAATTAATTTATTTATTTAGGGTCCAGTCGTGGGGCCTGAACTCTGGGCCTGGGCGCTGTCCCTCAGCTCTTCAGCTCAAGGCTAGCACTCTACCACTTAAGCCACAGCGCCACTTCCGGCTTTTTTCTTTTTGCTTATGTGGTGCTGAGGAGTCGAACCCAGGGCCTTATGCATGCAAGGCAAGCTCTACCACTGAACCACCTTCCCAGCCCTAAAGATGAACATTTTAATGCGTAATCTTTCTTTGCAGTCACAAATAATACATCTCAACTGGACACTAGTGGCTCATACCTATAATTCTAGCTATTTAGGAGGCTGAGATCTGAGGATCATGGTTCAAAGCCAGCTAGGGCAGGAAAGTCTGTGAGACGCTTAGAAAAATTCAGAATTGGTGCTGTGGCTCAAGTGGTACAGCTCTGCCATGCTGTGGCTCATGTGATTACAGCTCTAGCCTTGAGGACAGAGGCTCAGGGACAGTGCGCAGGCTCTTGAGTTCAAGCCACAGGACTGGCAGAAACAAACAATACATTTCTATATATGTTCATATACTTTAAACAGCTAGGATTCTGTGCCTTTCTTTTCCTTCCACTTAATGTATCTTTGAAACCAGGTGCCTGTAGCTCACACCTGTAATCCTAAACTACTCAGGAGGCTGAGGATGATGGTTCAAAGCCAGCCCAGGCAGGAAAATCTGAGACTCTTCTTTAGTTAATCACAAAACAAAAAAACCCACCAGAAGTGGATCTATGGCTCAAGAGGTAGAGCACCATTTTTTTTTTTTTTTGTCGGTCATGGGGCCCGAATTGTGGGCCTGGGCACTGTCCCTCAGCTCTTCAGCTCAAGGCTAGTGCTCTACCACTTGAGCCACAGTGCCACTTCCAGCATTTTCTGCTTATGTGGTGTTGAGGAATCAAATCCAGGGCCTCATGCCTGCAAAGCAAGCACTCTACCACTGAGACACCTTCCCAGCCCCTAGAGAATCAGCTAACGATAATACCTGTATTTAAGTCCAGTACAGGCATTTTAAAAAAGGTATATACACACATGCTTTGAGATCTTTCCATACTGTTATGCATAGACCACTCTCATCCTTTAAAAGTGCTGTAATAAGCATCTTTGTGTATAAATACATATAGGCTAAATCCCTGGATGTGGAATAGCAGGAATTAATGCATTTGTCATTATCCCTAGGAGGAAAATAGCTAGGATCCAGGCAATTCCTGCCCCTGTGCTCTGAGAGCAAAGGTTCAGTGAGGGAATTTGTAGAAGTGACTGTAAGCTAAGCCACCCTTTCCGCAATCTCAAATAGCATATTAAAAGTTGCAGAAATGTTTTAGTAACTACTCACTGTTGAGTGATTTAAAAGTCATCGTTGAAATGGCCAAAGACCTATTTCTCCATAGTAATGTTAAAGTCATTGTTGGCAAAGGAAAGGCTTTGTTCTTTTTCCTTCTTCCTTCATCCCAGGACTTTCATTTGACACGTTTGTTAATCTCTTGGGATGGTTCTACTACACTGGATCCTAACCTCAACGGTAGGAATTTGGCTATATATTCTTCCCTCCAGCAAGGTGGCTGAGGAGGGGTTAGGTTTGAACTTTGTCCGGAAGTCAAGTGAGCTCTGGCAGCCCATCCCCAAGCTCCTTGTATCAGGTGGACCTTGCAGAGTCTGGCAAAAGCTGGCTGTCGCTGGCTGGGAAGGTGGCTCAGTGGTAGAGTGCTTGCCTTGCATGCATGAGGCCCTGGGTTCGATTGCTCAGCACCACATAGGCAGAAAAGGCCAGAAGTGGTCCTGTGGCCCAAGTGGTAGGGTGCTAGCCTTGAGCTGAAGAGCGAGGGACAATGTCCAGGCCCAGAGTTCAGGCCCCATGACTGACAAAACAAAACAAAAACACTTGCTGTCTGCTGAGGGCTGGAATTTCACCCTGGTTGAGAGATGACAACAGAACCAGACACTTTGCATAGGCAGGCCTAGGCCTCCCACACAGGAGAGTAGATGCAGTCTCAAGGGGAGGAACCGCTCTGGGTGTAGACAGCAGCCTTTCCCTACCACTAACAATCCTCCCCTTGGTGGAATCATACTTCCACGACCCAGTGCCGCTGTCAGTTCTGCAGTACCTCTCCCTGAACACCCCAACCTGGTCAGCCTGAGTGCGCTTATCTCCAAACAGCACTCAGTTCCTCCTTTCCCCATCCTCCTTTCCCCATTGGGCAAGGGAAATGGTCACATAGTACGTGGTAGATGGACCTCGAAATCTTCCCTGACAAAGTAGGAGCTTCTCCACTGAGGGAATGAACACACACACACAATTCAGTTATTTTTGGGCACTTACCCTATTTCGGGTATTTACTATATTGCCAGAAATGTAGAAGCAAACAAAGGCCTACTTAATTCCTGCTTCCAGCGTTTTATTTTCTACAGTCCAAGCCAAGTGTCTAGGCCCAGGCCTGGTCTTGGGGGTGGCCATCTCATGGCAAAGTTTCTCTTGAAGCTGCCTTTGCATTGTAAACACTGTTTCAACTGGCGTTCTAGGCCAAAGATATTAATGAACATTTTCTCCAGATGCCTGATCCGCAGTTTAAATACCTGGGTGTGACCTTGCTCGCTGGGTGGAGGAGGCAGGAAGAAATTTCAGGCCTCCACCCCCACCCGGCTGCCCTGGCCCACACCTGGCAGCACGGAGGGTGGGGAAAGCCGGCGCTCCGCTCGCCGTAGGCCCCGCCCCCGGGCCAGGCCCCGCCCCCCGTACCAGGCCACGCCCCGGGCCAGGCCACGCCCCCGCTCTCCATAGTTACGGCGCTGTGGAGGCGGCGGCCATCTTGGCGGCGGAGCGATGAACGGGTCGAACCCGAAGACTGCGGCCGCAGGATCGGCGGCGGGGCCCGGGGGGCTGGTGGCTGGCAAGGAGGATAAAAAGAAGACGGGCGGCGGCGTCCTGAACCGGCTGAAGGCGCGACGGCCGGCGCCCCATCCCGCGGCGGACGACGGCGGCGGGACCGCGGTCACGGAGCAGGAGCTGCTGGCGCTGGACGCCATCCGGCCCGAGCACG